CACACACATACACACACACATACATACACACACTCATACACACACTCACACACACACACACAACACATACTCACACACACAGAGACACACATACACATACATACACACATACCCACATACCCACATACACACTCATACACACATACATACACACAGAGACACACATACACACGCACGCACACTGCTAACTCTGGCCTGGCTGACTGAACACCAGGTCTGTCTCTCTCTCTCTCTCACTCTCTCTCTCTCTTCCTCTCTCTCTCTCTCTCATTGATTTCAGAGAGGAAGGGAGAGAAACAGAAACATCAATGTTGAGAAAGAATCACCGATCAGCTGCCTCCTGCATGCCCCCCATCGGGGACCAAGCCCACAACCTGGGCATGTGCCCCTGACCGGAATCGAACCTGGGACCCTTCAGTCCGCAGGCTGATGCTCTACCCATTGAGCCAACCCAGCTAGGGCACCAGATCTCTTTTAATCCGTACCACCTTTGAGAGGGCACTACTTTCATCTATGCTTTAGTCAGGAGGAAGCTAAGGCATAGAGAGGGAAGGTGACTGGGCCAGGATGTGTGTCTGGTGCCAAACTTGTGTCACTTTCCCTGTGAAGCTGCCCTCAATGCCACCCTCCCCTCCCCCTGCAGCCTCCTGTGTTCACAGGGCACTCTGCACACACCACTGCAGAGAGCCCTCGGACTGGGCACCCCTTGCCTGTCCAGTCCCTGGATACCCAATGTCTGGTCTCAGCTTGGAAATTATTGGTAAATGTGGGGTGAGCTTGGGGCATAGAGAGACACTCCATCCCTCACTCTCTAGAACAGGGGTCCCCAAACTACGGCCCGTGGGCCACATGCAAATACAAATATTGTATTTGTTCCCGTTTTGTTTTTTTACTTCAAAATAAGATATGTGCAGTGTGCATAGGAATTTGTTCATAGTTTTTTTTAAAACTATAGTCTGGCCCTCCAACGGTCTGAGGGACAGTGAACTGGCCCCCTGTTTAAAAAGTTTGAGGACCCCTGCTCTAGAAGCTCATACTCTGGAGGGAAACCTGACCCACAAACAGCCCAAGACCCAAGGGGTCAATGTCCCAAGAGAGGCCCAAAGAGCCGGCAGGGTCACCGGCTCCAGTGGACGGTACTGTGCTCCCCCCAGCGGAGTTGGTTGGGCAGGGTCCCCAGAGGGGCCAGCCTGTGTCCTGGGCCTTGAGGGATGGAGGAAACGACAGTGGCTGAATGGGGCTCACGCAGGCAGGAGACCTGGAGAAGGATTCCAGGCTGTCGGAGGCAGACCAGTAGGAAAGCAGGCTATCCCACGAGGGCCCAGAGTTCAGTTGTCTACAGACCCTACCAGACAGCGAGCTGCGGGAGGGCAGGGCTACCTCTGCCCGATGCTCCATGGTGTCCCCTGCCAGCACCGAGCGCAGCGCCTGCACATAGTGGGTGCACATAAGAATTTGTTGGAAGCAGGCCTCTTGGGGCATAACGTTGTATACAGTGTGGTGCCCCTACTTAAGAGAGTGCTAAATTCCTAATATAAATGTCGGCACAAAGTGGGTGTTTATTTGCCACAGAAATAGGAAGCTGTGCAGCAGAGCTGAGGCAGCCGCAGTAGCGACACTGTTAACTCCCCTCTGGCCAGAATATAAGGAGGGGGAGGTCCTCGGAGAGGTGGGGCACCGCCCACAAGGGCAGCCTTTTCTGTCAGCCCCAGGGGCCCAGGTTCAGAGCCACCTCGGAGCCCTCATCACCCTCCCAGGCAACCCACCATGACCAGGCCTCGGTCACGCTTCAGGAGCCTCTCTGGCTGCATAAAGGCCTGATTCTCCCAGGTCAGGAGACTTCCTCCCCCTGGAGGGTAGCCAGAGGGTGAATGTGGGCATTGAGAACTGTTTGCTGGTCACCCCCTGGCGACCTTGGGCACTCCTCTCTGGGGCCTCGGGGGTCATGGAGGGTCTGTTCTGAAAGCCTTCTTTTATTCTGGCCTCTGCTCCTCTGGCCGCTCAGGGGGCTCTGCAGAGGATCTCTCTGAGAGCCTCATTCATCTCCCCATGCCCAGGTCCCCCGGGGCCAGCCAGCACTCAGCTGAATGGGGGTGGGTGGGAATGCTCTGCCACAGAGGTGTGGGGCCAACCAGACCTGAAAGGCATAATTACAGAGCCTTCGAGCTGAGAGATTCCACGCCGAAGGCAGACTTCCTGGAGGAGTCCAGGAAGTCTTCTTAGAGGAGGAGACACGTGATCAGAGAGATGGAGCATTCATTCGATAAGTACTTGCTGAGTCCTTCCTATGTGCCAGGCTCCGAGGATACAGCAATGAAAAGGCAGATGGGCGTTTGCCCCAAAGTTTCTTCCCTTCAGTCCAGCAGGGAAGTAGGAATTGACTCAGTCCCCCAGACAAGGGGTCAGCAGGAGCAACCACATCCGGGGGAGAGATGGTACCCTGCTTGTGGATGGAGCTGACTTTGGTATGAGGGGAAAAGGAAATTATCAGAAGATGAGGCTGCTTGGCAGAGAGCAATAATGGAGAGCCTGGGACACCAGGCGAGGGACTTATAACTTAATCATGCTGACAACTGGGAGCCACAGAAGGTTCTAAACAGAGGGAGAAGTTACACGGTTTCTTAAAAAAAAATTTTTTTTAAATTGATTTCACAGAGGAAGGGAGAGGGAGAGAGATAGAAACATCAATGATGAGAGAGAATCATTGATTGGTGCCTCCTACACACCCCACACTGGGGATTAAGCCCGCAACCCCAGGCATGTGCCCTTGATCAGAATCGAACCCAGGACCCTTCATTCCGCAGGCTGACGCTCTATCCACTGAGCCAAACCAGCTAGGGTATAAGGTTTCTTTTTAAAAATATATTTTTATTGATTTCAGAGAGAAAGATGGAAACATCAATGATGAGATAGAGTCATTGATTGGCTGCCTCCTGCACACCCCCTACTGGAGATGGATTCTGCAACCCTGGCATGTGCCCTGACGGGGCATTGAACCATGATCTGCTGGTTCATAGGTTGACATTCAACACTGAGCCATTTTGGCTGGGCAGGTTTCTTAGCACCAGGACCAAGCTCAACACATAAGACAAGCGCAAGCTTCCTGGGGCCAACCTGCCCACCGCCGACCCTGGGTTTGGCTAGGAGAGGGCACCCCCAGCTTGGACTTCAGCCTCCAGCTCCAGCTCTTCCTTGTGCTTCCAATCACACTCAGAGGCTGGTGTACTCTATAGGGAGGAAGGGACAGAGTGTCTGGGTCCAGGACTCACTGAGGACTTAACCCTTAGCCATACAAGGCCCCACACCATTTGCCTTTTGTGGGCTTTGGGTGTGTTCATGCTACCTGGTTTCCCTACCAAGTTCTCTCTTTCCCATACCAATACCTGGCATAAAACTTCCCAGGATACCCTTCTGACAACCAGTGAGTCCAGACTTGGGGTCTTCAGGACTGGGGCCTCAGCATGACCCTGCTGAGTTCAAGAGCAAGACCCCAGCAGAGTCCTTGGCTCCTGGAATAAAATCCGAAGTCCTTTCTGCCTGGCCCCGTCTGCCTCTTCACACTGCCCCGAGAACTCCAGCCACCCCAAACTTGTCTGGTTCTCCAACAAAGCAACGCTCTCCCTCACTTCCAGAGTTTTGCCTAGACTGGCCTCTCTGCCCAGAGCACTGCCCATTCCCTGAGGTTCCCCCCTAACCTGGCTAACCCCCACTTCTGGCCTGCACTGCCTATCACTCCCTCAGGGAAACCTCTCCTAATCCCCCAGAATAGGCCAGGGTCCCCAGAGGTGTTCTTTCAGATCCCATGCCTTTGCACATGCCGTTTCCTCCATCAGGAATAGACTCCCTCCATCCTCTGGAGCCTGGTGCCTGCCCAGTAGCACCATCTTCATTGCCCTGTTACAGGTGAGGCACCGGAGCCTCAGAGAGGCCCAGTGACCTGTTCAAAGCCACACAGCTGTGCCTAGAGTGCTACAGTGAGAAGTGGGAAATATCCGGGCCAGCTTTATGGTCTTGAGAACATCATTTGGCCTCTCGGTGCTTCAGTGTCCTCACCAGTGAAATGCGGCGCCTCTGCATAACGTTGTACGGTGTGAGCCTCCATTCCTTTGCTCCCCAGGCCATTCATTCAACGTTCGCTCCTTCGGACATCAAAAACCTGCACTGCCCGCTCTGTGCCCCGCCCTGAGCAGGGTCCTGGGAACTCGGTAGGTACGAACCAGACACAGCTCCTACCCCAAAGCGCTTGGGAGGGACGGGAGCAAAGGGCAGAAAGGTCACTCACAATCCGCTGCTGATAATGACGTTCCTCCGTGTGTATGGGGCCGAGAAGGGGGACATGCTTAGTAACAAAGATCCTCTCGGTATTTTTCACAAAGTTAGTTTTCACCGCTTCCTGAAATCTGGATATTGCACAGCATCCAAGGCTCACTCGCTTCCCCACGCTGAGCCCTAGAAGCTGGGAGGGTGAAGAGTATCGTGAGGGCCGTCTCACAATTCGGAGGACTCCACTCATCCTGGGGATTTCACTACCTCGGGTAACGCACCTCCATCCCGTTTCTTTCCCTACCTCGACCCCTGTCCCATCGCATGACTCCTTCTCTCCCCTACAAGGCGGTCTCCACGCCCCGGTCCCAGACAAATCAGTCCTTTTCACTTCTCCCTCCGCTTCACCTCGCCCTCCATTCAGGTCCCCAGGTCACCTTCCCTCCCGCTCCGCTCTTTAAACTGCCCCCGCCCCGCATTGTCCTCCCTCCAGCCTCACTGCTCCCTGTTGGCCCCGCCCTCTCCAAGGTAGAGTCCGCGTCCCGCAGAGCCCCGCCCTCCTCCCACTCTTCCATTGGCTCCTGCCCCCTGACGGCGCGGGCGGAGGGCGGGCACCTGGAGAGCGCCCCGCCCCCTGCCCTGGTCCGGACGGTGGGTGGGGCCTCGGGTGACTCCGCCCCCTCCGGGCGGGGGCCGCGCCTGCTGGCTCTGGGGCGCTGGGGGGCGCTTCCCCCGGCTCCCCGCTGCTCGGCCCGCAGCTCCGTGGGGGTGGGCGACCGGGATGACAGCGGCGGGGGCGGCGGCGGCGTTGTTGGCTGAGCGCGCGGCGTGGAGCCAGGGAAAGAGGAGGAAGTGGAGCGCGGCCCGCAGCTGCGAGTCAGCCGCCGCGCCGAGGTCCGCCCCATTTTGCCGAGCGAGCCGAGTCCGGAACCGGGAAGACTTCCCCGCCGGGCTCCGGCCCCCGCGGCTCCTCGCCGGCGTCCCGACCAGCCCCGCCGGCCCTGGCCCCGGCATCCGCCACGGGACGCTTCCAGCCCCACGGTCCGGGGCGTCGTGGCCGGGACTTCCGAGCGCACGACCCTGATTGAGTGCACCTGGGCGGGACGCTCCTGGCCCACCATACCGGTCCACGGTTGCGGGCTGGTTCCCAGCCTTTTGCAGCGGGTGTCGGAGCCCTCCGCCCGGGGATAACGCACGCTGTCCCCAGGACCCCGACCGAGTGCACGGGAGCCCGGACACCCTCAGCCTCTTTCCCCGAGACCTGGACCTTCAGCTGCTCCGACCCGGTGCTTCGGACTTCCCGGCGGCGAGCGCCCAGGAAGCCCCTGCCAGGGTCCAGCGCCCCCTGAAGGGTCCCAGGCGGGTTGGACAGTCGGACTGAACCGGACCCGGGTGGTCCTGCGAGCCGAAGCTGCCACGTTCCTGCCGTCCCAGGCGAGGGGCTTGGTGCTTCCCCCGAGAAGAACACAGGACCCCCCGCCCCCCCCGCCCCCGCCCCCGCCCCGGCGGCCGGCGGGAGCCAAGAGCTGCAGGTGAGAGCCTCCGGGATGCCGGGCTAAGCGGCTTCCCAACCCATCGGGGCGGCGACCGGCCAGCTGCGGGCGTGTGCCCGGCACTAGCTGAGGCTGGAGGGGCGCGGGAAGGGAGGAGGGAGGGAGAAAACGGGCACTTATTGAGCGCCCATTGTGTGCGTGTCCGCGCTCCACCCTTGCGCAAGTGGTCCCTCATTAAGCCTCACTGATACTCGATGAGATAAAAGGTGTCGTGTAGTGTTACAGGGGCTTACAGATCGGGAAACTGAGGCTCAATGGGGTTGCGTGACCCTGCTGTTTTCACTCTGGGGGTGAGACTGGGAGGAGGGTTAGGCCGAGGTGGAAAGAAGCAGAAAGTGAGGAGGAAAAGAAAGGAAGTGGATAGCCGCGGGCAGGATGGTGGAAGCGGTCAAGGTGGGGCCATTTGAGACACCCTAGAGCTGATCCCGAGGCCCAGGAGGTAGGTCTGCTGGCTTCCTTCCCTCCCATCTGTGGCCGGGCCACCTCCCAGGTCCAGGACAAGGAGTTAAGGGCAGAGGTGGGAAACTTCCCACCCTCACAGCTTCCCCCCTGTGGGCCTCTCTCCCCTGCCCCAGCCTCCAGGGTCTCGAAGGCACCCTGCAGGTCCTGAGGCCGAGCTTATGTGTTGGGGAGACTCACTGTGGGGGTGCCCCAGTCAGAGCCCATCATAGCCGGAGAAGGTGAGGCCCCTCAGCTCTTACCCAGCTCACACCCTTCACATGACTGACACGGTGTGTGGGGGAGGCTGTGGGGTGAAGGTAGGATGGAGTGTGTGTGCCAGCTGCCCCAGGTCCTAGAGCAGTGAGTGAGTGAGTGAGTGAGCCGCAAGTCCGCTTGAGGAAACCTTCCCAAATACCCTGCAAGGTACCCCCTCCCCCGCCCCCGTGAGCATGTCCTGGGTGGGTGGCTGGGGTTTTTCCTACTCTGATGTGAGGTCAGAGTGACCACATATGACGCTGTGGGAGAGTCTGTGTGGTTGGTGCAGGGGCCCTAGGCATGCCAGCAGCCTCCTAGCCTTTGGCCCAGACTAAAGGTCTGACCTTAGCCTCTCCTGGCAGGGGGCCCTGCGAGACACCTCTGACCCTGGCGGGGAGGGCTTGTTCCAGGGCTCAAGGCTGGGGCTGCCGGGGCTGAGGGCAGTGTCCCAGGTGTCTGGATTTCCAGGCAGGGGTTCCTTCTGCTCCCCACCCTCCCCACCCCCAGGGCAGTGCAGGGAGAGGGGTGTTGTGAAAGAGGGCTTGGCGTGGATTCTGTGGGCTCTTGTTCTGGGTGGGGTGGGGGAGGGGACATGGCCTTGGTCTGAGCCCTGTGGCCTTGGCTGGGACTGTTTAACCCCTGCTGTGCCCAGCTTCCTGGCATGTAGAGGAAGCCACCTGGGAATGCCCCTGGGAGGTGGAGGAGAGTGGAGAGGTCAGACTGGAAGCTCAGTCCCTGGGGGTCTGCAAGAGGAAGTGACGGAGGGGCTTGGGATTCCCTCCCAATCTTTGGAGATTCAAATTCTCCTAATAATCCTGCCTCTAAACAAAGCTCCTTGCTAATGACTTCATTTCACACCCGTGATCTCATTTCACGGTGTGATGGAAAGAACCTGGAATGAGGTGAACAGGGTTGGGAAGCCACGTGGGACCTCTCAGATGCATCCATGGCTTCCCAGCCTCACCTGTAAAATAGGGTCAAGGCAGGCTGGCGTTATCTGTTCAGATAATGAGGCCATGATATCTGGCAGACTGTCAAGTGCTAAAGAGGTTGTGCATGTGTGTGTGTGTGTGTGTGCACGCGCGCCTGTGTGTGCATGTGTATGTGTGTGTTTGCCATGGCTAGGATTGTTATTAATGGCTACATTGAGTGGGGAACTGAGGCTCAGAGAGGCGAAAGCACTTGTCCAGGGCCTTTGGGTTTGCTTCAGTGACTGCGTGCCAACTGCATACCAGGTGCCCTGGAAGTTACCCAGATGGAAAAGGCAGTGTGATGACTAGCTCACAACCGGGTGGGCGAAGTGGCACAGACAGATAGTGGTGAGACAGACCAGGTGGGCGTGAGTGCGCTCTGCCTCCCACTGGCCATGTGGCCTTGGGCAAATCCACTCCTCGGAGCCCCAGCTTCTGCTCTATAAATTAGAATTCCTCCTCCATGAAGTTGTGTGAGGATTAAGTGAGATATAAATATATAGCGCTTGGCAAAATGTCTGTTTCCTTCCCTGTAAGGAAGGAAGCTTGAATTTTGACCAGGAAATCTGGGAACATTCTCAGGCTTGCTCTCCGGTGCCACCTTCCTGGTCTCAGAGTCCTCTGGAACCTGCTTGGGGACCCTGGATTCTGACCCCCACCCCCACCCCAGGGCCAGGGTTGTGGGAGCGGGACTCATTCCCTCTGGCTCTTTGTCTGGCCTCCCTTAGGCACAAAGGTGCAGTGAATAATTTATGGGTCCCCTCACACCGAGAGGCAGGCTCAGAGAAATTGCTCTGTGCCCAGATGAGCTTCTGAGCTCGCCCCAGAGGAGGGGGTTGTTCCCGTTAGTGCTATATGAAGTCTTGGATGTGGGGGGAGGGAGGCAGGACAGGAAGAAAGTGACCTGTTATCAACCCGGGCCCTCTCCAGTGGAAACCAGGCTAGCTGGGCTAGGGTCAAGCTGTGGGCCTCTGATTCCAATGGGTGATGAGAAATGGCAGGGAGAGGCCCATGACAATGAGTAACCCGGGAAGGCTTCATCCAGGAGGAAGGTGTCTGGGTTGGGGCTAGAGGCAAATGGCTGTAGAGAGCAGGGATCCTGACATCAGCTGAAGGTTGAATCCTGGCTGTGCTACTTACTCACTGTGACACCAAGCCAGACACCTGGCCCTGCCAGGCCTCCATTTGCTCCTCTGTAGAATTAGGGTTAGTTATGGGTGACTGTGAGGCCACACATATAAAGCACATGGCACCATAGGTACTTAGTGAAAGGGTGCTTCATTGTGAACGTGAACCTTGGGCTGGGCTAATGGCAGGGGAGGTGGGATAGGGTAGAAGCAGAGAAGTGGGTTGAACTCTGAGGTCCTGATACTGGAGTTTATGGGGTCAGTGAAGGGTGTGGAGAAGAGGGAGGGTAACCAGATGCCAGAGGGCCTTGAATGTCAGACAGAATTCACATTTCAGAAAGCAGTAGGGAGCCATAGCCAGCTTGGCTCAGTGGATAAAGTGACAGCCTGTAGACTGAAGTGTCCCGGGTTCAATTCTGGTGAAGGGCATGTACCTCGGTTGTAGGCTCGATTCCCGGCTGGTCCGGGCTCGTACGGGAGGCAACCAATTGATGTGTCTCTCTCACCTTGATGTTTCTCTCTCTCTGTCTCTTCCCCTCCCTTCCACTCTTATCTAAAAAATCAATGGAAAAACATTCTCGGGTGAGGATTACAAAAGAAAAGAAAGAAAAAAAGGCATCATGGAGTGCCCACTCAGAACCCTCTGTGGCTCCCTTCGGTCTGTAAGTTGGGGACCAGTCTCCTTTGTTGCATCTTCAAGGCCTTGCCCACTGTAGCCACTGCATGGACCCTGGCTCACTGCTCATCACTGTCTCCTAAACACACCAGATGCAGCCTCATCACTGCGTCTATGCTTGTGGGGTTCCTCCTGTCGGAACTGCCATCCCTGCCTCTCCTCTGCTCATCTCCCCATCTGTTGAGGCCCGACTCCAGTCATAAACATCCCTGGATTATCCAACCCACTGCTCACAGCCCTCTGAATCTTTACCACTTCATAGTAATAGTAATAAACAGTACCTACCATTGCACCACATTTTACAGTTTGTAGAATGCATTCACATACTCATTAGTAACACTGTGATGATGATATTAACAGTAGCTACAGCTCTGAGTACTTATTATGAGCCAGACACTGCTAAGCGCTTTCCGGACACACTCATTCGCAACTCGGGGAGGTGACTGCTGTGGTCTCCAGAAACGGGGACTCAGAGTGGTGCATTGTCTTGCTCAAGGTCACACAGGTCAGACTGAGGGGCGTGAGGAGTCAAACCTGTGCTCCTATCTGGGACTAAACAGACAGCTTGACAGCTTTTAGAAGATATTCCCGTCTCCTCAACTGGGGCCAAGTACCTTGAGAGCATACTTCGCATGTAAAAAGCTTGGAAATGAGCCTTCTTTTCAAAGCTAAGGAAGGAACCCTGAGCTGGGCACCCAGGGCCCCGGGCCCCGGACTGGCTGGCTGTGTGACATGGCGAATCAGCCCGGCTCCGTGGTCCCGTTTTCCCACAGGTGAGTGGGGTGGTGTCCAGGCTCCCAGCGCTCCAGCTTCTGCAGTGTCCTTCGTGACCCTGGAGGCAGAGGAGACCACAGCATCAGGGCCAGAGGATGTGGTGTGCTGGGCGGCTGTGATTCTTGGCCTGGCTGCTGCCGGGACAGCAGGCTCTGTAGTTAGCTGCTGCCTTTCCCGAAGAAGGGTGGTGCCTTGTGCTGCTGGCGGCACGGTCATTAGCAGGGCAGAGAAGACCCTGCGAATTGGGAGCAGCTGGGCCAGGCCAGGTTGGCAGTGCCGGAGGCAGGCTGGCCCGGCCACAGTGGGGTCATTGGCGGGGCAGCTGGCAGGGCAGCCGCTGCTCCTCCCTTTGCAGCCTCCAGGGCGGTGGCAAGTACCCACTGGGCACCAGAGCTCTGTCGGCTGAGGCCTGCCCTGGCTCCTGTTTCGGTGGTCCTGGGAGTGGAGCAGAGGAATCTAGCCA